TGTCGAGGACTTCAGTCTTCTTCGAAATTGAACTTGTTATGGACTTCATTCTTCTTGGATTAACTATCAACACTCATGGAAGCAGCAGTCAAGAAATCAAATGACATATTGCATTAGGCAAATGTGCTGCACAAGACCTTTTTAAAATGCTGAAGAGCAAAGATGTCATCTTAAAGACTAAGGTGCACCTGACCCAAGCCACAGTATTTTCAATAACCTAATATGCATGTGATAGCTGGAGAGTGAATAAGGAAGACCATAGAGGAATTGATAGTTTTTAGTAATGGTGTTGGAGGAGAATATTGAAAGTGCCATGGGCTGTCAAAAGAACCAACAGATCCATATTGAAGAAGGGTAGCCAGAGTGCTCCTTAGAGGCCAAGATGGCCAAACTTCGTCTCTCATGCTTCGGATATAATGTTAGGAGGGACCAGTTGTTTAGTAGGCTGGAGGGTCAGAGAAAAAGAGGAAGACCCCCAACAAGATGGATTGGCAAAGTGGCAGCATCAATGGGCTCCAGTGTGGCAACGATAGTGAAGTCGGCCCAGGATCAGTGTTTCCTTCTGCTGTGCATAAGGTCACTATGAGTGGGTACCGAATAGATGGCACCTAACAACAACATGCTGGGGGCGGGGCCTGTGATGGGAAGGTGGGGCCTGGTGCTAGGAGGGCAGGGCCTGTGATGGGAGGGCCTGGCCTGATGCTAGTTGGTCAGGAGGCGTGGCCTAAAGCCGGGTAGTCAGGGTCTGTTTCTCACCTTCACAAGACACCCCATCAGCTCTGAGCCTGAATCCAGATCTGCATGAGCACAGGAAGCTACCCACGGTGTTGTGGCAGGAATGGTGACAAACTCGCCTTTCCAGCGGCCGACGACACTCGTTTATATCTGCAGAAGAGCCTTATTTCGGATACCACTATGCTACCAGTAGGGATGCTGGCCCCTCCTTCCTCCCATCCGTTGGCCCAGAGGCTGGGGAAGTTCCCAGATCTTTTTGTGGGACCATTCCTGGTCCAGGGTGGAGGTGGCTGGAGTGCACCCTACATACAGTAGGCATTTAATGGATGCACCAGAGGTTCTGAGCCTGGCCCTCCCTGCCCAGCACTACATAGTAATGATTAAGCGTTGACGATGAACCCTGCTGATAGTCTTCTCCCCACGGTCCCAGCTGTCTAGCTTTTAGAAAAGAGTCTCAAACACCACAAGTTTGGCTTCAAACAAAATACCTAACATGCTAGGAAATGGATGCGTGGAGATGATCCCTTGGGTGTACCTCAGAGAGATGGCGAGCAGTCAGGAAAGCCCAAGATAGGGAACAGCAGATTCTAAGCAACTAGTTCAACCCCCAGCAGGGTCCAGAGGACAGGAGGTCCCGCTTGGTTAGCATTCCCTATCCCCGGTCTCACCAAGCTCAGCGTCCTGAGTGGCAGCCTCATTGAAGAGCCTTACCTACACACGAGTGCTGGTTGCCATGGAGATGGAAGCCCGGTCTACAGGAACACCTGTAGCTGCCCAAGCTGTTTTTACACCTCTGCTGGCAGGGGGTTCCCAGACATTCGTCAGTGTCTGGAAGGGAAAGAGACAAGGCTGGGGCCCACTTCCAAGAGTTTTAGGGAACATATGGTCCCCTCTTTTGCTTTCATCACCATCTCCCACTGAAGGGGCGTGGGGAGAAATAGCTACATGTAACCCCTTTCCCCCTCACTGTCCATATTCAATCTGTTGTTGGGGTGCCGTCAAATCGACTCCAATACATAGCAATCCAATGGAACAGAGTAGAACTGTCCCAGAGACTTTTTGAGGCTGTAATCTTTCTGAAAGCAAATTGCCAGGTCTTTTCTCCTACAGAGCACCCAACCTTTGGTTAGCAGTCGAGTGCTTAATCATTGTGATATCGACTCCTACGTGACCCTGGACCAACCCACTTCTCTCCATGCTGGGTCACCTCTGTCTGGTCTCCAGGCCTCTACTCAGATTCCTTCCAGGCCATTCTCCACAAGGCCTCTGGCACACTCCCATCCCAGAGCTCTCAGATCAGGCTAATCCCTGCTCAAACTCACGCCCTGCAGCAAGGCACCAACAGCTACCTATTGTTGTTGTTATGTGCCGTGGAGTCCGTAATAGCGACCCTGCACATGGTTTCCAAGGCTGTTAATCTTTATGGGAGCAGAACGCCTCATCTTTCTCCCACGGAGCAGCTGGTAGTTTCAAACTGCTGACGTTGAGGTTCGCAGCCCGATTCATAACCACTACGCTACCAGAGATCCTTCCTAACTCATGTTAAACCACAGCTCTGTTGTTGTTGTTGTTGTTAAGTGCCGTCGGACCCATAGCGACCCTGTATAGGATTTCCAGGGAGCAGCTGGTGAACTTGAACAATTAACCTTGCAGTTCAAATGACTTTGCAGTCTGATGCATTAGCCCACAGAGCCACACCAGGAGAGTGAACTTTAAATGTGTCCCCAGGCTGTCCTCCCCTCCTCCTTCCCTGTTCCTTGCCTTGGTTTTGGTTTAAATTCTTGTCTTTTCCAAAGGCCCTAGGATTTTAGAGGTCTTCCCCTTTGCCCATAGTCTCCTATCTACCTCTCCTTTGTCTAGAAAACTCTTACCTCAAAACTAAGTTTTTTTTAACTTTTTATTGTGAATTGAGTGAAGGTTTATAGACTAGAGCATCAGTTTTATATTCAAAAAATTCATCTACTTCATCTCATCTCAACTGCAATCCCTCAAAGTGACATCACTTATACGACTTCCTTCCTGTGGTTCTTACAACCATTCCTTCTTTCCCCACCCTTTTGAATTTTGTCCTTAGGCAAATGCTGCCCTTTTGATCTGAAATGGTTGACCTTTCTATGGGGTGTTATTCCCTCAATGCCTGTCAATTGCTTGGCTGAAAATTGAGCCTCAGGGGTGAGTTCAGTCCCAGACCTGAAGGACAGCCAAGGGCCATAGTTTCACAGTCCCAACAGGCTCTATCTGACCAGGAAGACTTTTTTTTTTAAGTTTTTATTGTGAATTGAGTGATCGTTTACTTGGGAGAACATCAGCTTTACACTCATCCTATCATATTTCATTTCACTGCAATGATTACAATCCCCTATGCATCCACATTCAACAGCATTTGCTTCCAAAGCCTGCTTTTTTAAAAATGATTTTGGAAACTCCGTTTCTTCAGCACTTCCTCTGTAAAAAGTTTCCCCATGTTGTTACTTAAAATTGTGCAAAACTATTAAAAAGCAAAACAAAACTACATGGTTATAAATAAGAGAAAAGTTAGCTGACTATAGAATATCTATACTGTAGCAATTTTAAAAGAACAAGACATCTAATATTTTCATATGGAGAAATTTTCAAAACATATTGGTGAAAGTGAGGGGCGGAGAGGGGGGAGAGAAGAAAAACAGAGGAAGTCTTGGGATTAAATCCCAGCTTTAGCATGATCCCCGATAAGATCATTTCTTTAAGCCTCAGTGTTCCTATCAGGAAAATGAAGATATATAAACAGTGTCAATATCACAGGGTTAAAAAACATATACCAAGTATCAACACGGTGCCTAGAACCTAAGGATTCCGTGAGTATTCGCCTGTTAATGTCATACTATTATTGTATCGTATTGTTCTCTTTAAGTGTATCTGTGTTTATGTACAAGTGAAGTATGGAGAGGCAGGAAGGGTGCTGATCGAAAGCCAGGCTTAGTCTCCAGGAAGAGGGAGAAACTAGAGCTATCACCACAACTTACATTATTATTTTTAATAATTTATGAAAAGTACAAACAGAATATAATATAAACACCCTTCTAGCCTGGAACTGGACGTACCCTCAGGGATCACCGTGCAGCCCAAACACAGATGGGCCAAGAATGTGAACAATAACAGCTAGGAGAAATGTGCTCCTTCCTCAGAGCAAGCAACCACACCTGACCACAAGGGGAGCATTTGCCCAAAAGCAAAGTTCAGAGAAAAGGAAGGACGAATGGAACCGGGAGCTCAGGAAGGAAGCAATGCTGTTATATTGATGGGGTTGCATCCAATGTTACAAAACGTGTATACATTTTTTAATGGAAAGCAAATTTGCTCTGTAAATGTCCACCTAAATAAACCCTGATATAATAATAATAATACAGTATCAAGTGTGGCGCTGTGGGCTAATGTGTCAGACTTGAAAAGTCATTGGAACTCCAAGGTCGGTGGTTCAAGCTCACCAGCTGCTCCTTGAAAACCCTAGACAGGGTTGCTATGAGTCGGAATTGACTCGACGGCACTTAACAACAACAACGACAACCTTGTTTAAGTGAGAATCGCCGCAGATGTAACTTGTGTGGAAAAGGACATCATGTTTGGTAAAGTAGAGAGAGGGGTCAGTAAAAAAGAGGAAGACCCCCATGGATTGACACAGTGCACAGTGGCTAAGAGTGAACTCAACATAGCAGTGGTGTGGGGCTGGGGCAGGACCAGGCCGAGTTGGACATAGGTCAGTAGGAGTCTGCATCTGACAACCACCACAAAGATGAGGAACGACTTGTAAAGCCTTCCCTCTTGTCCCTGAGTTCCTTCATCACTTAGCCCTCATCTCAGCTTTACTGTTCTTCCTTTCCCCATCAGAGTGGGGCAGGCTCGTGGGGCAGGGCGTTTCCTCCTCCTTGTGTATCTCTAGAGCCTGGCAGACACACAAGGCAGGTGGCAGGAATGACTCCATCACAGCAGGCCCCTCCACAGCCCTTTAGGGTGTACTCACAACCCCTGCTGTAGCGCTGTGGTTAATGCGCCACACTGCAAAGCCATTTGAACTGCAAGGTTGGCGGTTCAAGCCCACCAGCCGCTCCTCGGAAACCCTATACAGGATCATTATGGATCGGAACAGACTTGACGGCACTTCGCAACAACAACAACACAACCCCAATTCCTCCCAACCTCCCTTCTCCCTGCTTCCTCCCCTTAATGTGCCCCATTGCCTCTCTTTAACTCCACCTCCCACCTTGTAAATGCAGCAGCAAGTTCTTGGGATTCAAACCCAAGCTCCACCACTTACTAACAGAATGACCTTGGGCAAGCCTCGACTCTTCATCTGTAAAATGGAAGTGAACCCATAACAACAACAGACTGAGAGCATTCATTGTCTGCACCCTGGAGTGGAGGTGAAGGCATTGTTGTCATGGTCACTTGCGGGCCCCCAGAGCAGCTCTCCTGCATCATGCCCACTCACCTTGACAGCTGTGGCGGTCAGCAGACAGCTGCATTCCAGGCCCACACTCACACACAAACCCGCCTTCCGTGTTCACACAGTGGCCTTCGCAAGAGGAGCTCAAGCATTCATCAATGTCTGTGGAGAGAGAGAAGATAGCCTCACCTCGCACAGCCATCTCTGAATGGGATGCAAGAAGCAACAGACCCACACAGAGCCGCTCACCCACACCCCAGGAAGACAGACCAGGACTGCCACCCAGCTACCAGGGGACCCCCAGGAAGATAAGGCCAGAGCTGGAACCTCTCCTGTGACCCCATGCAGACTGATGACACAGAGCTGTTTCCAATGTCCTGCTCACAGGGCAAACCCACAAGGCCCCTGAAAGGGAACAGCAGAAGGGAGGTAGGAAGGCTGACTGATTCATTAACAGGGCCAGTCCCTGAAATGTCTACTGAGCACCTACTGTGCACACCAGGATGGCAGAGGGGCCGCTGAGAACACAAATGTGACAAGACAGCCCAAAGTCAACTCTCCAGATGTTTAGTCTGACATCAGCAGAGGCAGACACACACCCACATGAGGCAGTGCTGTGGGGTAGGGGTGAGACATCCAGGGTGCCTAGAGGGAGGGACTGGGCTAAGAGGACCAGCAGCCATTGGGATGGAAGAGTCATATCAGTGGACAAAGGGCTGGAAGAAGCAACACCTGGACTCCTTGGGGTATACAGGAGGGGTGGTCAGTATGGCTGAAGTTCAGATGCCCTGTCAGGGCAGCGGGTGACAGAAGTGCAGAGATGGGTGAAGGCCTGGCCGTGGGCCACACCAAATGGCACAAGCACTTAATAGGTTCTAAGCTGTCAGCCAAAAGGTTGGAGGTTCGAGTCTACCCAACTGTGCCTTGGAAGAAAAGCCTGGTAATCTACTTCTTAAAAAGCTATTGCAATCCCTACAGAGCACACATGGGACGCCATGAGTCAGAAGAGTCCCACTAGCAAATGGTTTGTGGGGCACCTTGAATGTCAGAGTGAGGTGACCTGAAGTCCTCTGAACCTTGATCCGGCCCATTGCGTATGAAGGACTGGTAGACAGACTACCCCAAGTTCTACTTCATGGTGTTCTTCCTTCACTTAAGAGCAAGGCAGATTCTGAGGACCTACAAGAACAGCTGCCCACACTCCAGCCTGGCCAAAGGCCACCACAGCATTCCACATTCCTTACCCCTTTTTGCCACTGTTGTTGTTGTAAGTGCCATCAAGTTGGCTCTGACTCTTAGTGACCCTGTAGACGGTTTCTGAAGTAGCTGGTGGGTTTGCATTTTGTGGTTAGCAGTCCCTTGCTTACCCTACAGCACCACACTATACCTTGTTTGTTATTTGCGGTATACTGGCTCCTCCCACTGCCCCAAAACCATGCCCCCAAACCCTAGGACACCTTCTGAAAACAGCCCTCTTTCAGTTCTGCCAGCTCCTTCTCTGGTTCTTCCTTGGTACTGGTTGGCTCTTTAACAAGAAATGCGTGCGTGCAAAGTACTCGCAGTAAAAGACATTCAAATCCATTGCTGTCCGGTCAATTCCCCACTTAATGGTGACCCCATGAAAGAAATTCAGCAGGGGCTCAGTTACTTCACCCTCTTTGAACAGGGATGTATAACAAGTCTTAAGGTCGAAGACCCAATACTTCTCCTTCTTGGAAATAACCAGAGATGTCAGTAAGAGACCTCTGCATTCCAGCATATTTACAGCAGTCTACATGACAGAAAACAGAAAACTAAGGATGTAAATGACACATCCTGATATGGCACTGTAGGATCAGCACTGGACTGTGAACCACAAGGTTGGCGGTTCAAATCCACCAGCTGCTCCTCAGAAACCCTATATAGGGTCATTATGAGTTGGAACCGACTCCATGGTATGCCACCACTACCATCACTACTATGGGTCGGAACTGACTCGATGGCACTTAAGAACAGCAACATAGAGCAGCTAACAAGCTTGATGGTAAGTTTTTTGTTTTGTTTTTTAAATCACAAGCAAATAATACTTTTACAAAAGAACTATTGAGTTTTTGCTTCCCCTTCTCACCCTCATTTTTCAAATGCTGTGCTCCCAGAACCTTCCCTGATGAACCTACCCCAATCCAAGCAGTGTGCCCCCTCTGTGGGCACTTCCTGGCTCATGGTCCCCATTAAACTGGACAGTAACTGTCCAGTGGTCCTTCTCCCTTCCCCATATTAGGAAGCCCACAACAAGAGAAACCAACTGGTCACCCTTCTAACTGCAGCCTCTAGCTTAGCTTCGGGCCCATAATACCGGTTACTGTCCAGTCTACCCTGACTGTCACCCCATGTGCATTAGAACCGAACTGGGCTCCACAGGGTTTTCAATGGCTGAGTGTGGGGAAGTAGATCACCAAGTTTTGCTTCTAAGGCACCCCGAGTTGACTAGAACCTCTAAACCCAGCCTAGCACATTAGCATTTGCACCACCCAGGGTGCTCAGTAAATAGTGTGAAGTGACCAAAGTGACAGTCATTATTTCTTTTATTTCCACATTTCCTGCTACCCTCAGACTTAACAGTGCATCTTGACTGACTGTTCCCTTGGCATCTCTCTGAAAGTCATCCTGACAGGACTGGGAAGAGGGGCCAGGGCTCTCATCTCTTCCCCATGGCTCTGAGGAAGAGGATGCTCATCCTGCACCCAGACCACTCACCTGTACACCTGATGCCAACAGCTGTCTCTGTCATTGAGAAGCCCACAGGGCACACTCGTGCCACCTCCTGACAGCCGCCATGGTTACAGGTAAGGTCACAGCCGTATTCCCCACAGGGTCCATAGGCTTCTAAAACAGGTACCACACCCATGAGGAGATGCCAGAATGCTGCCCCTCCACTCCACCTCACCTGGGCTTCTCCTGGATTCTGTTAAGCCAACAGGTCTGAGTTTAATTCCAGCTCTACCACTTACTAAGCTGTGTGATCCTGGGCAGGTCCCTAATGGGTGCTTCCGTTTCCTCATCTATACAATGATAGTTTCTACCTAACAGGATCATTGGAAGATGATATGATCAGACACATCTCAAGGGCCTTGTGCCTGGTACAAATCTTAATCGATGCTGAAAACTGTTATACCCATGAGCTCTGGTCCTTCCTGTTACCTGGGCAGGTGGCCCCTTGTTCTCCATCCTGGCAGGAGCAGACATTGGGAGCGATGCAGATGCCATTCCCACAGCCAAAGGAGCAGAGCGCTGAGAGGAGAGAGATTCAGGGGAGGATGCCTCAGGCCAGCCAGGCAATGTGCCCTGCTGGAGGAAGAGGCTGGGGGCAGAGGAATAGGCACTTACGCAAGGTACAATGCCCACTGCCCATGGAGGGCGCCCATCCAGGGCAGCACCCACTGCCGAAGCCTGAGAGACAGACATGGGGACCCAGTCGGCGTCTGCAAGAGAGGAGAGCACACTTTCCACCTCTTGTACTCAGGTAGGAATTGGTCCCCTCCAACCAGTCAGAGTCCTGGTGTGGCGCTGTGAGTTAATGCGCCAGACTGCAAAGCCATTTGAACTGCAAGGTCGGCAGTTCAAGTTCACCAGCTGCTCTTCAGAAACCCTATACAGGGTCGCTATGGGTCGGAACCGACTCAACGGCACTTAACAACAACAACCAGTTGGAGACTCACTCAACAACCAGTTCTTGAGACCTCTGGAAGAGCAATAGGGGATAATGTCCAAAGAAATAAGACCCATGTTATCTCTCCTGGGAGGCAGGACAAGTACAAAGTGTATTTTTGAGTGGCCTCATGTGAGATTGTGGAGCAAAGAGAAGCCGGGAGAAGTTCCTCAGAGCCTCGGAGCCCCAGTGCCATTCTGCTGCCCTGGGGCCTTTGCAGATACAATACTCTCTCGGGAAGGCTTGTCCTCAGACACCCACCAGCTCACACCTCCACCTACCCAGGTCTCCAACGTCACCTTATTAGAGGGACCTTTCTCACCACTCTTACCCTGCTTTCTTCCTCTTCTTAACACATTAAATTGTTTATTTATTGGCCTGCCCATTCTCTGTCTCTCCTACCACCCAACTCACTTACTCGCTCCAGTACCCCAAATGTCCTTGGGACATAGGAGGAAGGAAGGCATCCTCTGGAGTACTGGCATAGCTGACATCTCTGAGATGGCAGGGAGTGGGGGCATTGTCACCAAACTGCCCAAAGCTTGAGGGTAAAGTGTCTGCTCAACCAGGACACAGGCCCATGGCTGGGGGGTGAGAGGGGACAAAATGTCTAGAAACAAGCCACTGTCCCCACCTTTAAGGGATACAGGGCAAGTGACAACATAGTGTAACAGATGCCACACTACAGACAATGGAGCCCCCAAGTGGCTTGTAGGCTGAGTGGGGGCAGCAGGCGAGAGGGGCAAGGGGAGGTAGAGAATGAGAGGAAGAGAATCTGCAAAGACCCAGAGGGAGAGGCCAACTGTGTCAGTGATTCCAGTGACGGGCTGGGCAGAACATAATGATTACTGGTTTAAATTGTGAATCCTAGGCCAAGAGAATAGGGCCTAGAAAACCTACCTCAGCTGGGATTCGCCTGTGTTCAGAGGTTGATGGGAAATTCCACCAGGCACTAGAGACATGGATGGACAAGGGAGACTTGCCTCTGCTCTTGGGATACTGGTTTGTTGGGGAAGGAAGATACTGAGAGAGTTCATTTCAAATGTAATAATGACTTTAGAAAGGGAGGCTCAGGTCACCATGGCAGAACAAAGATGTTGTGGGAAACTATCCCGAGATGAAGGCAAGGGGCACTTTTTTCCTCTCTGAAGCCATCCTGGACCCCCGGGGGTTGTCATACCCAACCCCCTTGGGTCAGCAGCCTGGGACAGGTGATGTCACCCAAAGCAGACAGATGGAAGCTCAGGGAGGCACACCCGCTAGTGAGCAGGACTTGAGAGCCCTGCAGAGCGCCCAAATACCTCCCGGGCTCTGACCAAGACAGGTGGCTGAAAGACTCCAAGACGCCAACGAGCCACGACCGGGATCCAAGCAGAACTGGCAGGAGCCGCAGGACACACGTGCGAGCTGCGAGCCCGGTGGGCCGCCCCCGCTTCGCACCCCGGGAGGAGTGTGGCTGAGGGCCAAGCCGCCGTTGACAGTGTGTTCCCTCGCTTGGAGGATCACGCACACCCTCGGATGCCTGGTCTCCCGCCCCCGCGAGGGGACACGTGGGGCGGGCAGCGTGGGGCACCCCAGCTCCGCCCAAGCCCGCACAGGCGGAAGTCAAGTAAGCCAGGGGCAGGGACTGCACAGGGAAGCCCCCAGCCCCAGAGCGACCCGCAGGAACTCCAACCAGTCCGGGGACTCAGTGGCAAGTCCAGGGCTCCCTGCGGCAGGGATCTGCGCTCCAGGAAGGGAGCCTGCCTCTCCATCTCCGTCCCCCCTGTGTGGAACCAGGATCACAGAACGGGCACCCGCCTCGGGGCGCAAGTTGCTGTCTTTGTCCAGCCCCTGGGGGCTGCGCCCTCCGCGCTCTTGCGGCAACCAGGCAGGGGCGCGGCGCTTACCTCTCCGCGACAAAGTGCCCAGGCGTCTTCCTCCCGGGGTAGCCCCTGCCGGTGGCCCCTGGCAGCAGGAGCGCGGCGCAGGCGGCCCGGATCAGCAGTCCGGCCCACATGACCGGCGGCGGCGGGTCCCTAGCTCGGTTGGGCGCGGGTGCCGCTCGAGGGAGGCAGCTGCCGGTCTCGCCCCTCCTCCCAGCGTCGCGGGGAGCGAACCAGCGGGCCCAGAGCTGGCACGCGAAGCTGAGGAGGAGGGCCGGGGGTGGGGGGGCACGCCCTTCGGAGCAAGACACACAAAAGGCTGTGCCGCTCACCCTCCCGTTCTCCCGCCAGTGGCCTCTCGGGGAGTTGAGGAGACCGAGGTGGGGGCAAAGATCAGGGACCCCTGGGGGCGGGGTTTCGCCCTCGGCCCACACCCCCTGCCCGAGTTTAGGAGTTCAGCTTTCCGCTAAGTGCTGTGGGCGTCAGACAGAAGAGGCCCTGGAAGGAGAGACTTCGGTCTGGGGCACATGGCTGGCGCCATAGGCTGCGCATTCTGGGTAGCCCATCTTGTCGGAGCCTGAGATGCCTCTGTTGTCACGATTAAGGTAGGAAGTCTGGAATACAAACCCAGGGCGCCGGGCCTTGGAACCCTGGGCAGTTCTAGCCCCCGACCCACTCTCACCCCCTGAAGCGCGGGGTGGAGGATCCACGCGTTCCCTGACCAGGGGACACTAGCAGGTCTTGAATTCACAGGTTCCAGATGGTCGTCGGCTACTGCGAGGGGGACAGGCAGGGGCTAGTATGCAGCGGTCAGAAGCAGAAGGGAAGTGTCTTTACTTCTGCAACTGCTCCAGGCCACAGAGCCACTGGAAGTCAGCCGAGAGGCTCCAACAGTGACGTGAACAGGTGGTCATTATCATCCGTTGGGAGAAAGCCAAAAAGATGACTGAATTTTACCTTCTGTGCAGGAACCCTAGCCACCCCAGCCCCATTGGTCAAGTTTTTAAAACACTTCTCTGGATAAGGAACTCCCTGTCAAAAGGCATCCCAATTCAATTTTGAAGTTACATTTATTAGAAAGTGGCTTTTCATTTTAGCTTTAAAAAGAGGTTCTTGTGATTGGTTGCCTTTGGTTGCCCCCTCTGCTGGTTCCCTGCTCCCCCCCACTCCTTGCTGGTCAGCGGTGGCTACACATGGACGTATGTGCCAACAATGACCTGGACTCCATCCTTCCAGACACCATACCTTTATGAATAGTCTATTACTGCATTTGTTAAAGGGGGAAGGAGCAACCCCAAGATATTGTTAAGGAACAACAGTTTGCAGCCAAGGGAAAGCTGCGGTTTGAGGTTCTCATATTTGTATGGTGCTGCGTTTGTTTTTTATAAAGCAAAATTTTGGAGTTTAATTGAAATCACATCAGGGACACATTAAACAAAATACTTTTTCTGATCATCAAACTAGTACCCCCAAAACACTGAAGACCCAGCTTATTCCTAAGAAAGCTCCTGTTGTTTTTTTGTTTTAATGTTTTATTGTGAATTATGTGATAGTTTACATGGGAGAACATTAGTTTTACATTCATCCTATCGTCTATCTTTTCATTGCCATGGTTACAGTCCCCTCCATGCATCATCAACCAATCAAAGGGTATACCCTGCAAGCCTGTTCACCCCCTCCCCCATTGCTTTTTGAACACAAGCTGTTAAGGTGGTCTTCCACCAGAATCTGTGTGCTTGCGCTTTTGCAGATGTTGAGCCTGTGAGCTCAACTTAGGCCTGTGAGCAGCTCACCTTGGTAGTTTTTACCCTTCTAATCCCATCAAATTTTCAGCAAACAGGTGGCCAGCAAGTTGTCTTAAGGTGAGTGAAATGTTTGACCATATTTGGGTCTGGTCTGAGTCCAGAGGGTCCTCAGAGCCCTAGGCCATCTTTCCTCCTTACCTTGACCGTGCAATGACTGAACTTTCTCCGCCTCTGTCCATACCTTGTTCCTCATCAGAGCTTGCTTCAAACGCGTCAGTATCCACCCTGAATGGGCCCCCAAATCTACTGCACCATTGCCCTACGTTTCTACATAAGAACACCACTCAATGTCAGAGAGGTGCTCATCTTTCTTGGCCCCCAGAGATATCCACAAATCCCCAAGACATTTACACAGGGCAAAATTGCCTTGTTATATATGTCGTCATTCCTGATACCATCTTCCCCAAACTCCAGCCCACCTCAGCTACCTGGTTCTCAACTTTACCACTTGTCTGTGCTCCACCCCTGAAAGCCCGTCCCCTGCAGGCCACTCTCCACCACTAGCTGAGCGACTGAGATGCAATGTCTGGTTTGTTCTAATCCACGACCGCTCTCTTCTGTTCATTAACGAGTGCCCTGGGTATATCCCCTCCCCACTTCTAGGTAACAAAGGGACCCTCCACAAAGGATGGAGAAGCCAAGTTGTTGTTGGCTGCAGAACATGTGTCTCTGGCTTGTAACCCTTTCCAAATGGTCATGGGATGAGTCAGTGTTTCGATTCTTTCCCCAAAGGTCTGTTCGTGCAGAGGCCTGGAGTGAGGTGAACTTGTTTGTCAGCGCTGACATGGACAGGAGCCATTCTAGCTGGCGGGAGTGGAGCAGAGCCCCAAAGACCACCTTTCACCCCCGCAGAGGTGATTAATGGTTTTTAAGAGGGGATGTGAGCGCCTGGCTGCAGAGTGTGTTTCCAGAGGGTAGTTGGAAATCCAGTCCTTTGTGACAATGCCAAAGACTAGAGGACGAGGAAGACTAGCACCCAGTTGCAAGGACTCCACCGTGTTAAATTTGGACGGAAGCCATCGATAAATAACCACCCCCTATTCAGGGCAGAGGGGGATGGCCCAGTGGCTGTAAGCCAGGCCACTGGAGCACCAGGCCAATACTGCCACCAATCTGTCTTCCTGATCCTGGCACCTCCCATCCAAGATCACAATCTGGAGACTGTATCTTGCCTGCCTCATTAAAGCTGGTCTCTGGCAGGGGGCAGGCCTTTTCAAATTCAAACCATAACTTTCAAGAATTCAAACCACAGTGCTGAGTTTCAAGTGCTAATGGTGGTTTCGCAGATGCTGATTCTCTTAAGATCCCCCAACTGCCATAAATCCCAGGAGAGTGAGAAGAGACACACAATGTCACACAAGGCAGGCCTCCAAGAAAGGTTGCAGACTCCAGACGACCCCCCACAGCAGAGATGCATCCTGGCACTTCATTTAAGCTAGAATTCTCATAACCACAGTCTGAACTTGAAACCACAATTTTCCTTGACCCTATCAGAGGCTGGTCTGAAAAGAGCCAGCCAATGTGCCTAGGATCGGCCCTGTTCCACCTCAGGGGCAGAGCAGCCTTTATTCCCAATGGACGGCTGGTAGAGACGTGGCCCCACACACTCGGACCCAGAGCTGAAAGATGTGCTTTAGTTGGACGTAAGAGTAAGCCCCAAACGTGCCCTACTCCAGGATTTCCAAACCAAAGGCACCAAAGGTTCCCTTGAGGAAATAAATTGATAAGTAAAGGGCACGTGGCCACAGGAAACTGGGAGTTGACTACAGCCAAGGAGCAAAGCCCAGGGGGACAGTTGGCTGGCCTTTGCAAACATATCTGGCTGTAAAATAATGTCAGAAAAGGCAGCCCAGGCAACCCCAGGCCAACAGTAGAGGCAACTGAGAATCCAATGATGACCTTAGAGTTAAGGACAACCAAAGACACCCACTGAATTTCCAAACCCTGACACCCGGCTTTCTCCAGACTCCATTTTGCTGCTTGTACCAAGTCCTTCCGCAGCAAGGGCAGATGACTGCAGCAGCTAGCAGACAGGAGGTTAGAACCAGACTCAGGGATGGGGACGGGGATGCCAGAGAGCAGGGGCAAGAAAAGCACAAACAAATGGCTTTTTCTTCTTAGATTCTACTTTATTTGATAAAACTCAGAAACTAATAACCAATTCACGTCCCCCACCTCTGGATCTCTGAGGGCAGTGCCCCTGAGACGAAAGGACTGGGACTTGGGGGTCATCCACCATCTCCAGGTTTAACGCTCAGGTGAGCCACCCCCAGCCCAGTGGTCAGGCCTTCAGATCGCGAAGCTCTCAGAGGAAAAGGAGGCTCTCACTTTAAAGACAACAAACCCTCCCAGCCCTCTTCCCCTACCCACAACCTCCCCACAGTCCTGACCTAAGTGAAAACACAGTAGAGGACAACGCATGAGTGAGAAACCAACACACAGATTCCTTTTCAGCCAAAGAGCTGCACATCCCTCCCAGAAAGAAGAGCACTGGCCAACACCCTCCAGGCTTGGTGGTCCAAGGTGACGGCTGAATCACGTGAGACAGGGGAAAATCCAGAAGACTTCACCCTCAGCCCAGTCCCAGGTCTCTAGTGAGCTGGTTTTAGTTCTAAGAAATTCACTTCCACACAGGTGCACGGTGGCTTTGAGGCAGCTGGCTTGGGGAAAAGTCTCCCATGGCCAAGACAATGGTGGAGGAGGGGAAGGAGACGATGGGAGGGGTCCCTGCCCTTTGCTAATGAATCCGAGTTAGCTCTTCCACCACCTTGATCAGGTCATCGGCAGTGGCCTCCCGCTTCATGCCGCTGCCATCGTCATACTGCAGTGAGGGAGGGGGAGGGCTGTCAGGGCCGAGAGGGCACGCCCACCCCCTCACCCAGGAGCTGCACACAACTATCGGGACCTCATCAGGGACCCCACAGTTCTCCGGGGGCTAACAGGCCACCAAGGTCTACTGAAGACAAAGCTGCTTCTTAGGATCACTTTGAAGACAGTTCCCCGGAAGCCCTCTCTAGTAAGCACTGTGGAAACTGCTCTCCCCTATAAGATTCTGACCCTGTACCCCGCCTTGGGTCTGCCAGCACCCAGATATGCCCAAATGTGTTTCGCTGATCGAGTCCAGGGGTGACCACAGGGATAGTACCTGGAACAGTATCTGGTCCCTCCTGGGTCTCGGAGTCCTGATCCCCTTTCCTTTCCCCGGCCCCCACCCTCCCATGGGGGAAAGAAAATGCCCAGAAAGGGCTTTTGCCAGACTCAAGGTGGAGGTGCCTCCAGGGTTCTACCCCAGAGGGACTTGTTCTATGGGCCCCAGGGCTGGATGTGGC